TACAGTTAACACGAACCATACATAGTGAACATACTCCAGTGTAATTAGCGAAACGTTACAAAATATATTTCTTCACTTTGCCTTTTTTGTCTCAATTCTCTGACTGAGATACGCTGGCATCAAATTGACGTTGCTTTATTCGCAGCAACGGAAAAACATCATACTCTACAATCCGTGAAAGAAAAAGCTAACGCTACAAAGTTGAGCCCAAACAGCGATTAGTTTTAAAAAGGACAACAAAAACAATTATTGGACTCGGTTTCGCAAAATAGCGAAATTACCAACACTTCGGTATGATATCAAATGAAGCCGGACAGTCGGTCTTGATAATTTTCGCTATCATGCATGCTCAACCTTATAAACTGAGGCGATTTTGAATAATTAGCGCGCGCACACAAATAAAACGGTGGTTTCTATAGACAGCTTGATTTGGGAGAGAGAAAAATCGCCCCTTTCTCGTAAACAAGTAATGTGACCTATTCAATGTTTTTGTTATCTTAATTTGAATGTAACGATCAATACCGTTCTATAAAAAGAATGTACGGTGGACTCACGCTCCCTCAGGGTAAACAACCAATAGCCCAAGTTTGAAAGAAAACCATACATTCGTGAATCATTTTCCTCTAGGAAGGCTCATAGAAATGGAAACAGGATTGTTTTATAATTTCAGAAGCAACAACACGCAAACTTAAGTCTTCAACTTCGTTTAATGTGCTATGGTTATGGTGAATCACGTTACCAAGGTTATAACTATAACTCAGCGACTAATTACACAGGAACTCATTTAAATCTAATCTGAACAAATTTAACTTACTTATCAAAACTAAAGGTTAACAAAAGCACTAACAACCACTCCTTTTATTGTACGCTTACAGATCCAACCCCAAATTATTATTTATAATAATTCTTCCTTTTAAAAAGGTGGCCCAACTTAGCGGTATCTTTTTAACTGGTCGCAACTGTCCAATCTCTGATGACTAGCATTTATTTTTCCTCTTAAAAGCTCGCCTCAACAAGTAAAGCTCGCCTTAACAAGTTCCGATCAAGTTTAGGCTTTCTTTTCTTGGAACAGTTTCGCTTCTGAAATAATACTTTATGCGAATTCTTCACAACTACCCAATCTCTAAAATCCACAACCATCCGACAATCTCTAGTAAAACATTAAGAGGAGACCGAGGAAAGTAATCATTTCGTAAAACCATGCAAGTCTTGATTTAATGCAAGATTAAACAAGATGTACAAGATAAAATAATATTTCGGCTCTATTTCAGTTTTAGTTATGTGAAATTAGTCGGCAACAAGAGAAGTGAAAAAGGAAAGTGCGTAATCAAAGAAAACATGGTATACACGACAATAATTACTTTCTTCGGTCTCGTCTTTTTCACGCTTTGTCCGATGTCTATTGGCAAGACCTTTAACGTCTTCCTTCTTAAAGGCTCTCCTCGATTAGCCGAATGTAACTCTCAAGAAAAGGAACAAGTAACGATTTAAACTAGGTGTTTTTTTCTTGCAATAATTTTGCTTGTGAAATAATATTCTCCACGCATTTTTCACGACTGTCCAATCTCTGATGACCAACATTTATTTTCCCTCTTAAAAGCTTGTCTCAATTAGCCGAATGCAACTCACGGGAAGCGTAACAAGTTCCGATTAAAGTGCCACTAACCCCAAAATTTTTTTTTCGCTAACATAAATTTCTTTCTCTCCTGATCAACACGGTGAAAAAAGTATTGTTGTAGCTATTTTCGTTAATTTTCTACGAATTTTTAAAGTTTGTAAATTTGCCCTTTTCTATGTTCACGACCGAGGAATAGCGGAGAATGGAACGAGTTGGCTTCTGACGTCACTTCGGGAATAATAATATTTTGTTTCTGAGAAGAATGTATGCGAACATGCGATAGTGTGTCAAAATCGTTGCAGAATGCAAGGAAGATATGTTGTTTGAGGCTGTAGCAATGCAGGATGCGTAGAATAGAGTATTCCTCTTCAATCAATACCTCTATCTCGATGAAACTCTACCAGAAACGAGAAAAAGACCAAGGAAGTGGGCTGATCTGTGCGAAGCTAAAGCCGGGGAGCCATTAAGGATTTCTTCGATCTCGAGTTCGTCGCTACTGTAAAAACCTAGAGATTTTCATGGCCTGTATATTCTTCTCTATCTCTAGTGGAACATAGAAATTACATGTTTGAACGTCTTTAGAAACGCAGGGATTTTATCAATCGAGATAATTTTTTGGCTGAAATAATCAGGGAAACTAGTAGATTTTATTAAAGGAAAAAAATTTTTTTTTGGCACTTAAAGTTTAGGTGTTTTTTTTCCTGTAATACTCTTGGTCCTGAAATAATATTCTAAAAACAATGTTTTGCAACTGCCCTATCTCTGTTGACCAGCACTTACTTTCCCTCTTAAAAGCTCGCCTCAATTAGTCGAATGTAACTTACAGGAAAAGTAACAAGTTTCGATTAAGTTTAGGGGTTTTTTTTAATTGCAATAATTTTGCTTGTGAAATAATATTCTTTGCACAATTTTTCACAGCTGTCTCATCTCTGATGACCAGCACTTTTTCCTTCTTTAAAGCTCGCCTCGATCAGTGGAATGTTACTCTCAGGATAGGTAATCGCATGGGGCCGAGTACAATTAAGGATTAATATCTCGCGTGTTTTCAGAAGTTGCTGAAATTGCCCGAGTCGTGCGCGACTCGGGCAATTTCAGCAACTTCTGAAAACACGCGTGATATTAATCCTTAATTTTACTCGGCCCCATGCGATTACCTATACGAATAATTTTGCTTGCGAAATAATATTCTTTGCACAATTTTTCACAAAAATCCAATCTCTGTTTGCTAGCTCTTGTTTTTCATGTGAAAAGGCCTCCTAAATAAGTTGAAACGTAACAAGTTCCAATTAAGTTTAGATGGTTTTTTCTTGCAATAATTTTGCTTGCGAAATAATATTCTGCACACAATTTTTCACAGATGTCCAATCGCTGTTGACTAGCACGTATTTTCCCTCTTTAAAGCTCGCCTTAATTAGTCGAATGTAACTCACAGGAAGCGTAACGAGTTCCGATTAAGTCTAGTCTTTTGGTTGTCAAATAATATTCTTTAAGCAATTTTTCACAGCAACACTCCTACACTTTTTACATTCACGTTTTTTTGCTTCAAGTTCACATTAATGAAATGACTGTGATTATCGGAAATCAGTAAGTTTAATCTAGGTTTAACGAATAACTCGGACAGTAACTATAAAAGGAACTCAGTCGAATCTAATATGAACAAAAATAACTAATGTTTCACAACTTAAGGTCACCAGTGATGACAAAGAGGCGATGCCTCTTATTTTACACTTACAGATCCAGACCTAACTCATTAAGAATATCAAAACGTGGCCCCACCTAGCCAAATGTAAATAATTTACTGAAAACAGTATTTCCGATTAAGTTTAGGTGTTTATTTCTTGCAACACTTTTGCTCGTTAAATAATATTCTTCACACAGTTTTTCACAGCTGTCCAGTCTCTATTGACAAGCACTCCTTCACTTTGTTTCATACAGTTCTCACAGTCACGTTTTCCTGGTAGTTTCTCGTTTTTGACGAAGGCTCAAAGGTACTTGAAAACTGCATGTTTTTCTTCCTTTGTCCAGGCCTATAACCCTTTTTCTTTGCTAAGGCAGCAGTAGGACCTGGGTATAACAATAGATACAGTGTCACATTTGTGCTTTCACTAGTACGGCAACAAAAAAGGATGATTTCTTTTCACGTTACATGCATCTTAACAATAGAGTAAGGACTGTTAACTTGTAGATTTCAAAAGAAAATCCTTTTTAACGATTTCCGTGTTTATAATTAAGATATACTTAGAAAAAAAAAGAGAATTATAATTGCTGACTGGTTTTTGTGGCCCGAGGGGAAAAGTACAGAGCTGTAAGAACAAAATGCTTACGCGTATATTTAAAACAACACATCAGTTTTAGCTACGTACCGTTCTTCTCTTTTGTTACGGCTTCTTTATCTTGTGTGGTCTTTTTGGTCTTAGCTGTTAAAAAGATTACGAGATAATAAATTCAATTCGGAGTACCTGCATGGTCATGGGAACTGAGAATTTCTTTGCCAAACAACAAAAGGCTTACGTGTTTATTTAAAACAAATATTTGGCCTGTTTATACACAGGAGCATACAATAAACTAACTTAAACTACGTAATAAAGGTCATGACGCTTACAGCCATTAAACATTACCCTTACCCTTAAATTCTGACTCATTTGCATCAAAATTGGAAGACCAGGGGAAAATACCATGAACCACAAAAGTCAGCGTGTGACAGTAAGTCAAATGAGAAATGTTAATAATCATACCAGTTAATCCTGATGGCGATCCCTTTGAGCTACTTGTTCCCTCCTGTTCGAAGAGCAAAAAACATTGTAAAAGAAGCAACACTAAACAAGGTGAAGTAAAGAAGATCAGTAGGTATATAAAATTTCTTCAAAAGAGTTGCTCATCATAACTCTAGTCTTTCAGCAAACGACGAAGTGTAACATTGTGTAATTTAAAACCTAAAAGTTAACACATAAAAACCTGAAAACACAGACGTGTTAATAAACTTACCACTCCCCTTTGTTGCACTGGGACACTCGGACTCGGTAGCTCAGCATCACTATCACTTTCACTATCTTCTTCTGATCCAGCTCCCTGTCATCTATAAAGAGAACAACAATGGAGTAAGTTAAGTTGCTAGTGGCGGAAGAGGCAAGGAGACAACTCAAAAGGAAGGCAAATACTAAATAAAGCTACTGCAATGAAAATAATTTACAACCTTGCCCATTAGCCTTTCATTCATAAAGTGCTTGTCACACCATTCAATATCGCAATTCTACACAACTTTTACAAGCCCACTAAAACTGTGTATAATTTACATTTTTGTAGTAGGATTTTTTTCAGCTTTTAATAAATGAACTACACGCGTTTCATGTATTCCATTATGATATTGCAGTCACCACCAAATTTGATTATCTCAACTCTTCGACAAAATACTACATACGTCACCAAATGCTTCCTAATAATTTGAAGGGATTTTAAACCATCTATGTTTGATTTACTTCCATGCTGGTATTTCGATCGCCTTAAACTTACCTTCAACTAGACCACTGTTCAGGTCAATTTCGTCGAGTGATTTTCCGGCCCATTGTGTGGTTTTTCCCTCGTCCACAGTGTAGAGGAGTTTGCCAACCTTCGCAAGTTCTATGGTTGAATCGTGTAATCGATAATGTTCTCTGTGGACCCTAATATCATGACCAAGGTGGCGAGCAAGCCAGTCAAGTTCGTTCTCTTGCAGATCTAAAATCTGTGATACTGTGGCAATATATTTTCGAAGTCTGGTGCTGGTCACAGCTTCTGGTTTTTCCAAGGTCAATTCCTCACACGTGGCGACTTTTCTCAGTCATTCCCAAGGCCGTAGATGACCTAACGACCGTTGCCAGTTGCCGCAAACAGGTAGGGATTTTCTGGGTTAATGCTTACTTCACTCCACTTCTCTACTAAAACATCAATTGCTTTTTTAACCTCCTTTGTTAGGAGAATGGGGACCTTTCGACCCCTTTTTCCTTTAATTTCTACCATATCCAACCTGGGTTTAAAATGTACAACAAGAAAACAATAAAAATCAATCAATCAATCAATCAGTCAGTCAGTCAGTCAGTCAACTAGAAATGAGGTACTAAGGTTTAATTTCGCTTCCTCAGCTGCCATGATGTCCGAATCATTTTGAAAACAAAAGATAGAAATTAATAAGCAACTATACGACTAACACCATTTATGCCTCTTCGAAGCTAGTTTGTCTGTAATACACAATACGTGTTGTCCCCGAATCGAGCGGTCCAGGCTCGAGCCCTGGCTGGGGATACTGTGTTGTGTTCTTGGGCAAGACACTAAACTCTCACAGTGCCTCTCTCCACCTAGGAGTATGAATGGGTACCGGCGAATTGTTGGTGAAACGGAACAAATTGCGGGGGAGGGACATGCGATGGACTAACATCTCGCCCAGGGAGAGTAGAAATACTCCTAGCCGCTTCATGCTACAGAAACCGGGATAAGTTCCGACAGCAATGAGCCAGTCGGCTCCAAGGCTTTACTTTTTTTATGCACGGGTGAATGCCTAAGAATACCGTTAGTAATTTGTATGTCTTTCACTTGACACAAATTCAGCATAAGCATGACAAAAAAAGCACGTGTGTACCTGTTTCTGTCAATAAGATTGGAAAAAAGTCAGTATAACTGCTACAGTGGACACCTTGATGTAAGCAACGGCCAAAGAGCTGTGAAAATATGTTCGCTAAACAGAGTTGAGTAATATCGGGGTTCTCTTTCATATGTTTTATTATTACCGGGTAGAAGAATATCATTCGTCACACCCGGGACTTTGTTATAGCGAGTTTTGTGAAATAGAGATTCCACTGTACATGCAACTAAGTAATAGCATGAGTATGAACCTTTTGATAGCTGAATAGCCGAGTTATCCATGGCATGGATGAACCAGTAAGCCACAATTTTTTTTCCATTTTCAACTAGTCGTCGATTTAGTTACTTATCATTTCATGGTCCTCAATGACTGATAAGCTGATTAGTCAGTGATTACCGTTGATTACTCTTTGATGTTAGTTATCATCGACTTGTTGAGTCGAGTATTTTTAATACAATACCTCCTAAATAGCTGCTGTTCTATGTCACTTAGAGATGCAACATCTTGACTTATACTTTTCTGCCAATCAGGGCGATTGGTGTAGGTTTCAACTTCAAGTCTTGCAGCTTCTCCCCCTCTCCGTTTGTTGAAGAGTATCAGCCTGTTCAGCACCATTTTACTTAGTTCTCGCCAGGTGCGTACATCTGGTATACTTGCGTATTGCAACTGTGAACTGAGTGAAACGATCTTTAAGGTAATGTATTCCTTTAACGTTCGAAGATCACTTGTAACAGGGAGAAGGTTTGGCTGATTATGCCTCCTGTCATTCAGTGTTGTCATGGAATGATGGCTGATACGGTAATTCCACTCAGCTTCAATGAGTTTCTCAAAATGCTCAACATCTTCGAGGAGACCTCTGTCTTTCTCACGGAGTGCTTTTCCACGGACAATTCCGACGCATTTCTTCAACGAGTAACCAAAATGCAACGCTAAAGATGGTGTACCGACGCGACTTTCACCCATCTTTACATCAAACTTGGAAATGTCCATGACACATTGCACAACGACGTCAAACTTGTCAGGACGAAGGAACTGCAACAGCTGGGCATTTGCAGTGTTTTCTGCTTCTCTCAATGACATTAGCAGACGTGCAAGGTTTCGCATGTTTTGCGAAATGTCATGACATCTGCTAGTTCCTACCTTTTCCACCATCATGGTGCCAAGAGCAGATATAACGGAATCATTTCGAGCGACAAGAGTTATTTGGTCTGACTTCATGGAAGCTAAAAATTCTTGGTAGGGTGAGCCCTTTCCGGGGCATAATGACGGTAAAATCAATAACTTGCTTTTAGTCTGAAGTTTTTGGCATTTCATGTAATCATTATCGTCCTTGTCATTCTTATCATCCTCATCGCCGCTCTTGAAATTGCACGCTTTATTATGCCTCCAAAGATCCTTTCTCTTTACAAAGCCCAGACAGTGAATGTAAGGTAGATAATCATCTTGACAACAGTCCTCTTCTTCTCCTGGTCTTCTCATGACAATGAGCTGTTCTTTTTTACGTTCTAATACACGCAAGTTATGATGAAAATTGCCTCGCAGTCGCAACTTTTCAAGGGCTTTTTTATGATCTTTTGAGCCTCGTGGATAAGCAAATGTTTCAGCTACCTCTGCCTCGTCTTTGTGGTGATGTTCATAATGCCGAGCAATTTTTGCACACATCTTGTCACAATAAAAGCAAGAATGTCTTTTGTCATATATCCTAGCATTGTTCTCGCCCTTCTTTGAACAGGAAATAACAACTGCAAAACAACGAAAGTACGCTAATGAGAGAAACGCAATAAAGTACGCTACGATTTGCGTTGAGATTGTTAATAGAGTACTGATTGTTACAAATATCTTCATCCAAGGCACAGTACAGTTCGATTACACATTCCATAAGATAGTTTCTTAACTTATTACTCCAAGTCATTAAGAAAGAAATGGTGGTATTCTCGGAGATTTTCCAAACCAAACACCTATTACTACCATCAAGTCACATAACTCTTGTTATGGTCTCTCCAGAATCGAGAAGCCTGGGTCAGTTAATCTATTTTATCTCTACTGAAAACAGTGCGGTAAATTGTGCAAGCCGTATTCTACAATACGGCCCACGAAATTGGGTGTACTTATTTGAGAGAGATAATAAATATCTTATTAGCCTCGTTTTCTCGGTCCATACTGTAAAATACGGATCTTCGTATTTCCCGTCCATTGTCCATATTTTACTGTACAGACCTCGATCACTCCAATAAAAAATACCTAAAATGAACTTTTTAGAGCCTAACAACCAGTAAGGCAATGACAGCTTTACCTTCTTCGTCTTCTTCTGTTTTAACCTCTCGCTTTCCACTTGTATCGGCATGTTGATCCTTTCTACTCTCCTTCTCTAATGTGACGTCTTTAGATCCTGGCAAAGATGTTTTCTCTTCGTCACTGCGTCTATCATGGGATCGTTTCCTTGCAACAGCTATAAATTGTACGTATACTTCTGAGATGAGCAGTGCCTGTATCTAAAGAGTAGCCGTTTAATAAGCTTTGAGGTAATTATTGCTTTTCTTACTAAGCTCAGGCCATATGAGCCACTAGGGTTTACCTCAATTAATTTTACTTTTTCTGTGCTCAACAGGTGGTTACAAGAACCAACACTATTTTCTAACCAATAAGAGGTAATAACAAAACCAATGAATCATTTTTTTTTCACATGCGTACCTCTGCGTAAAACAACTGCTTTCGTTGACATCCATCTAGTATCGACTAGTCTTACATGTACTAATGAATTTGGCTCAAGTACAAATTAGAATAAATATAGGGTAATCCCCAGCCTTACCCTGTTCATCTTTCATTTCAGTACTTTGAATCTGTTTTCTCTCGCTAGAGTCACAATTTGCCCCAATACTTGGACTATCATTTTCCTCCTCTTGACTGTCTGTTTCTAATATGATGGCCCTTGTTTTTCTCCTGAAGTTTTTGTTCATGATCGCAAGATCTTCATTCTCTTTATCACTGCTTCTATCATGTGGTCGTTTCCTTGCAACAGCTGTAAATTGAAACGATTAAGAATAACTTGGGTAATATTAATATTTCATTTTCCTTTTTTGGAAAATGTTACCTTAAGTAATGAACTCTAATTTTGTTGAAAAAAAAAAAAAAAAAAAAAAGAAAATTTGGTAAACGTAGCCCCGCAAAGGTTTGGTGTAACCTTGGAGTAGTAGTCAACACCAACAATAAAGTCGTTTTCACCTTCGAATTATGCATGAGAGATGATTATAAGTCAGAATAAATTTTACAAGATCCAAGTACGTTTCACATTATTAAAACCATCTCATTCACAAACTTTCAGTAAGGAGAGAAAGCATTCAACAAACCAAATTACAATGTCCATGAAGATGAATTAAATGCAAATCTCATACTGATTACTTTCGGTAACTCTCCAGGGACAAGGTCGCGCCATCTCTATTGTGGGATATTAGCACAATACCTTGTTAAACTGTTCACTTCTACCTACTGCTGTGCAATGTCCCCACAATGCAGATGCATGACTTGTACCTTGTCCCCATAATGAAACTGTAACTGTGATTTTTGCACAAAATTATCCTATTAAAGATAGAGGAATATTTTCTTCCAAAAATTAAAGTTTTTGTAACAACTCAACAGACCAATTCCCAATTCTCTATTGACTGTAGATTAGCATGGGAACCAACCACATTTTCCAAGCACAATTAAGGCAGGCCAGCGCATATGTTAATTCACAAACATTAAACAACTCAAGTTCTAAGAATTACATCGTTAATAAATTTTGTGCTGTACCTTTGCAACTGGCATTCTTTGCTGTGCATGCCACAGCTTCATAATTAACTAGCTTTTCTTGTTTACCTATTCACAGTATAAAAAAAGTTTAAAAAGAGTTAATTGATTAAACAGATGAGTAAAAAACATTTATGACACATTCACAT